TCGAGGGGACCATGGGTTAACTCCAGGGCCAAACAGAAAGCGAGCAGCTCCGCGCGCGGGACCGTCTGTCTGGGGCCCACAAGAGGCGCGGAGGCCGCCCAAACAGTGCTCCACGAGAGATCGGCGACGGGGCCCGCCTGGAGAATGACCACTCCCGCCCCACACCGCCGACGGCGCGGATCACTGGAGTACTCACCTCCAGATCCGTCTCCAAACACAATGAGGGGGCCCTGGAGGGGGTCCGAAACAGCAGCACTGGGGTTCCCCAAAGAAGCAGCCCTTTCTCAAGCACAGAATCCTCCGAAAACTCAGGCACCACCTGCTTCTCGGGGGGAACCCCTCGGAGCCAAAGGCTGGGCTCGCTCTCGTGGGATGCTACGGCACGGGCGATGAGGCTATCACTTTTCCTGTACGCATCATGCTGACAGTTGGCTGGACACAGCCACACTCGGTGCAGGAGCGTCTCAGGCTCCCGCCCGCAACGCCTGCAGAGCGGTTCCGTGGCGTAGCCCTGTGCACGTTGTCGTTCACGAGTCCACTGGCCTCCAGACACCACTGTCAAGGTGAGGCCCCAGTTCTCCATGTCCTGCTTGCGTTCGTACTTGTCCAGCTCACGCTTGATCTGAGAGAAATCAGCTCCGTGTTGTAGGTCAACTGCTCCCTCAAATTGACTGGCCTTCCTCCAAAGCTGGTGTCGGAGGTCTGCCGTGAATTCATGTAGCATGTCGTGAAGATCGACTTGCTGGTACTGAGGTGTGCCGCTCTGGGGAAAATCCATTCAATGCCAGCAATAGTCCGAGCCCAAACTTCTGGTTGCTTGCATTCCCAACCTGCATCGACGAGGGTGGCAATACCTGCAGCAACTGGGCCACGAACTCTCTGCCATCTAGCCTTGCCATCGACCACAACCGCATTGTGGATGCGCAACCATGCCCAACGAATGGGATTGTGGTATTGTGGATTGTCAAACCAGAGACGAAGCCATGCCTCCAAGAGTTGACGAGGTAGTTCGAGTCCTGGGTCCCTCTGGGCAAGGGTCGCTTCCAGCACCGAGGTCAGGCACCTGCCTCGCTTGGTACCTGCAATGGCCGACCCTGCCTGGCGTCTGACCTCCAACAACGTGCTGGGAGGCATGCCAAGAACTTGATGGCCGTAGCAACCCTGTGGTAAAACTCCCGTGCTCCAGAGTGAACTGCAGACTCTGCGAACTTTGGGTCCGAGACGACGAAGGCGAAGGACTCTACCATGACGCCGACGAGCTGCTGCCAGACGTTGGTTGGCCTTCTTCTTTACTCTCCTGCGCCATGCACTGACGTCCACACCAAGGTCCGTGGCCGCCAGCTTGCATGATACTGGGATGCCAAGTCGCCTCATAATCCTGGCCATGCGGAGACCCAAGGACTTGGACGACGCGATAAGATCAGTTTTGTCCGAGACAACCAGCCTGTACTCCACGAAGGCCGCTCTGAACTCAGCTGCAGCCTCAGTCATATTGGCGATAACGATATCTTCATCATCATTCTCATCTCGTGCCACAGTGTCATCAATGTAGGTGGCCAGCATAGGCTGTGGGGCGACCTTGTGAACTCTCTCTAGGATGGGGTGGAGAAAGACCTTGGCGAGTTGAACCCCCTTGGGGCTGCCTGCCACCAACGATCGGGTGACGATCAGGAGTTCACTCGCCCACTGCTTGAGCTTGAGGATCCTTGGGGCGATACACATCTGCACCTCCATGGGGACCACAATGGCAGGATACCCCACCTTGATGGCTGTGCGCATAAGGATGCACAGCGATACACTATCGTAGAACTTCTCCAGGTCTAGGAGGAGGGTCAGGAAATGCTTCTTGTTGACCATCCCCACTTCGTCGAGGCGAGATCGAAGCATGGCGGCTCGAAGGGCCGAGGACCCCGCCAGCGCCGTGTCCCAGAAGTCGCTGAGCCCCTTGGACCATTCTGCAGCTGGTCCGACTCGAGTCTGACTCCAAACCTTTCCAGTGGTGGGGAGGAGCCCCAATACTCTATCTCCTCCTCCGGGCTTGGCTGCGAGTGCCCCTATCGTCGCATGGATCTGCCTCGGCCATGAGCCTACAGCTTCAGCACGATTGAGGAAGTCCACTAGCATCTGCTTGCCTGGCACGGGTAGCCTGGCAATATCGTTCACGCTTATGTTATCAACACCCTTGGCCTTGTTGGCCGACATACGAGCTAGTGCATTCTCCAGCTCCTCTAGTGTGATGGGTTCGATGTTCTGCTTCTTCGCCACCCGCAGGGTCTGACCGATCTCGTAGACGATGTCCTCCATGGTGTCAACTTTGTCCGTCCAGACCTTCTGCCAGTACTTGTGGCGGCTGTTCATGATGAGAGCGGGGTCGGCCATGCCTTCAACTTCCGCGGTATCAGCCTGGGGGTCCTTGACATGACGGTGCAAGATCCCAGGCTTCTTGGCCCACGTCTCTCGTATCCACTTCATGAAGCTATGTTGGCCCTTGGCAACGGCCCGTGCTTGCGCTCGTCTCTCGAGGGACTCCGTGCGGTCATTAACCTTGTCCAAGAAGTCGAGGGACAGGGTTGCCTGTGCCAGTTGTGCAGGGCCAACTTCAATTGGAACTTCTGCTGGTTCCAGATCGGGAGGGGGGCCGATTTCCTCCTCGTGTTCAGGCTGAGCGAACACGTCATCTTCATCGTCCATATTAGTGCGACAGACCATCCCGTTGCTGTCGTCGATGTCCTTGTGCCGCAGGTCGGGCTCGCTCCCTACGGCATTCGCCTGGCCTCCCAACTGTCCCCACTCTGCTCCCTTACTACCGCCCCTTGCGGGGTTGGTGGGCTCGCATTGTGGGTCCAGGGGCTCTGTAGTGGGGCCGACCTGCAGCAATGGGGCCGTAGTAGACGAGGAGGCCGTCGCTGTTGGGAGTCCGCGGGGGCAGCCCCCGACTCCGTACACGTCTTCCAGCGTGCACAAATCAAAATAATGCCGCATCTGTATCTGTGGAGAGCCTTCTCGCACCTCTCCCTCACGCTGGCCAGGCAGGTCTTCATCATCATGAATGGACGCCCAAGGTGTGCCCAGAGGCTCGCCAGGACGACGCCCACCTTGACAATCTTCACCACCTTGTGGGGCCAGAAGAACTTGAGGCGTATCATCGCCACGTGGGTGAGTAGATGGTCTGGTTCCGCGGGGGAAGCCCCCGTCCCCGTGTGCCTCGTCCAGGGCACACATGCGTGTCATCCCGCTGCTGCCGTCGATGTACTTGTGCCGCAGGTCTGGCTCGCTCCCTACGGCATTCGCCTGGCCTCCCAACTGTCCCCACTCTGCTCCCTTACTACCGCCCCTTGCGGGGTTGGTGGGCTCGCATTGTGGGTCCAGGGGCTCTGCAGGGGGGGCGACCTGCAGCAATGAGGCCGTAGTAGACGAGGAGGCCGTCGCTGTTGGGAGTCCGCGGGGGCAACCCCCGACTCCGTACACGTCTTCCAGCGTGCACATATCAACATTCTGCCGCATCTGCATCTGTGGAGAGCCTTCACGCACCTCTCCCTCACGCTGGCCAGGCAGGTTTTTCATCATCATGAATGGACGCCCAAGGTGTGCCCAGGGGCTCGCCAGGACTACGCCCACCTTGACAACCTTCACTGCCTAGAGGGGCCAGAAGAACTTGAGGCGTATCATCGCCACGCAGGTAAGTAGATGGAGTGGCCGTAGCCGTAGGACTTGTGGGTCCGCGGGGGAAGCCCCCGACCCCGTGTGCCTCACCCAGGACACACATATCTGGAGATGCCGAAGCCGCACCTTCCTGAGCGAAGGGAGTGCCAGAGACTTGCCAGCACTGGAAGGGTGGAGTGCGGCTGATGACCTTCAGGATGCCAGGGTCGAGGTCGGAGTGGACTGGCGGCGGGGAGGAGGAGGAGGAGGAGGGAGGAGGAGGAGGAGGAGGAAGAGGAGGAGGAGGATCCTAAGAGGAGGAGGAGGAGGAGGAGGAGGAGGAGGAGGGAGGAGGAGGAGGAGGAGGAGGAGGAGGAGGAGGAGGGGAGGAGGAGGAGGAGGAGGAGAGGAGGAGGAGGAGGAGGAGGAGGAGGAGGGGAGGAGGAGGAGGAGGAGGAGGAGGAGGAGGAGGGAGGAGGAGGAGGAGGAGGAGGAGGAGGGAGGAGGGAGGAGGGAGGAGGAGGAGAGGAGGAGGAGGAGGAGGAGGAGGAGGAGGTTCCAAAGAGGAGGATGAGGAGGAGGAGGAGGAGGAGGAGGAGGAGGAGGAGGGAGGAGGAGGCATGGAGGAGGAGGTGGTGGAGGAGGAGGAGGAAGAGGAGGAGGAGGATCCCGCTCGTATATCCTAGGAGTGGGACCCAATGTGTTTTGGTGCAGTCGCAAGTCCCACGAAGCCTGGGATAGGGGTCGACGTATCCCTTGTGAGAGGATGAAGAAGAAAGCAATTGAGAAGAAGAACGATACATTTAATACTGATAATCATACTACTACTACTACTACTACTACTACTACTACTATTACGGAACAACAACACCAAGAACAACAACACCAACAACAACACCACCAGCAACAACAGTAGCAGTAGCAGTAGCAGTAGCAGTAGCAGTAGCAGTAGCAGCAGCAACAAACACAACAACATACACATAAACATTCGGAGTTCCGCGCGGATTTCTCGGACCGTCGTTGGGCCCCCTGGCGGCGCCTCAGGCGTCGCCCTTGGCGCGCTCCGCGCGCCAGGGAGGGCGTCCAGCGCAGGTCCAAGAAATCCGCGTGGACCTTCGAAACAAACATGCTTATGCCGTCTTTGCTGTTCCTCTAGAGAGGAGGAGGAGGAAGAATAATAATAAGAAGAAAAAAAAGAGGAGGAGGAGGAGGAGGAGAAATAGGAGCACAGAGGAAGAGAAGGAGGAGGAAAAGAAGGAGGAGGAGGAGGACGACGGCAAGAAGCAGAGGGAGGAGGAAAGAGAGCGCCGAGAGCGCACGGCCGCGTGCCTGTTCGGTCGTAGACTTCTCCGGTGCCCCCCGCAGGATCAGATCGCCTCCGACAACAAGATCTCGAGCGCCACCCTCCACATGAGCCTGGCGCGGGCCGACCAGGCCGCGCCAGAGCTCACCGGCGCGGACAAGGAGAGCGCGGGCGGTGAGGGGGGGACCTGGAAGGAAGCCAGCTTTCCCTCTCCCTCCCTCCATCCCTCCTAACCATCCGCGCTTGTCCCCACCTCGCTCTCGCTCTCTCTCCCTCTCTCTGTCTCTTCTCCTCTCCTCTCCTCTCCTCCCTCAATATCTGCCTCTCCCTCCCTCCCTTCCTCGCCCCCCCTCTCCGACATGTCACCGCGCCCTGGAGGACCAGCTCATCGCCACCCTGAGGCTGAAGCTCGATAAGCCCAACGGCACGAGTGGCGTCGCTGAGCTCGCGCCGGCCGCCGCTGACGACAAGGCGCGGCGGGCGGGCGCCGCCGGAGGAGTTCGAGGGATGAACAAACCAGCCCGCCTAAGAACTGCGACCAGTAGGGGAACGATTAATGACATAAACATTAAATCACGGAGGTCCGCGAGGATTTCTCGGAATTGCGCTGGAGTCCCTTGGCGGCGCCTCCAGCGCCGCCCCTCGCGCGTTCCGCGCGCCAGGGAGGGGGTCCAGCGCCGATCCGAGAAATCTGCGCAGATCTCCGAGTTTTTATGTTTAGGTGATTTCTTGTTCCCCTAACCATCGAGTTCGAAGGATGAGCACGAGAAGGCTTTGAGCTGCGCCAAGGCAGCCTCTCCAGGTAGGCAGTCGCAGCGGGTCTCAACAGCCCCCCCCGAGGGCAGTCCCAGCTTGCCTCAGCAGCGGTCCGAACACTCTTAGCGCCGCCTCTGGCAGCGCCCGTGGGTTGGGATGAGGTGGAGGAGGAGACGAGAGAGGAGGACGAGGACAGGAGGCGGAAGAGGAGAAGGAGGAGGAGGAGGAGGGATAGGAGGAGGAGGAGGAGAAGGAGGAGGAAGAGGAGGAGGTGGAGGCATGTAGAGGCTAGCTGGGATTACTCGTGGGGCCTGTCGAGGCCAGCCGGGACCGCCTGGGGAGCTGTCCGCGCGCACCCCGAAGCCTCACCGGGCGCCGCCGGAGGAGTTCGAAGCATGGGCAGGGCTTCGTGCTGAAGAGGAGGAGGGCGAGGAGGAGGAGGAGGTTTTTTTGACCTCGACAGGTCTCACCGCTTCAATGACTTCTCGCGGCAACAGCGGGCACTGCAGCGAGAAAATCGCAGCTGCAAAGAGACACAGAACAATACTCTTAAAACAGCTGCGAAAAGAAAGGTGGGTGTGCCTGGGCGCTCCGCGAGGCCAGACAACAGAGACCCACCCCTGGGTGGCCCCTATAATATCCACAGCAGGATGCGCAGACAGAGCTCCAGACAGGTTTGCGGCATGACCTGGGACGGTGCTATGCACTATCCTCCAGGCTGTGCCCCCCTCAACGCGAGGGAAGACCACCGAAGCCACTCCCTGGGAGCAGAGGTGTGTGGCGTCACCTGGGACAGCACAGCCCGTGCTATCCTCCAGGCCGTGCCTCCCGCAAACGCAGGAAGACCACCGAAGCCACTCCCTCAAGAGACTCAAAAACAGAAGTCGACAGCATCGAGCGGATCTCCGTCACTCCCAGAATCGTGGCCCACGTGCCAGGGCCAGAAGAGATCGGCAGCAATCGACTGCGAAGTCCTCGGCATCCCAATCGAAGAAGAAGTTGACGCGGTGCCGAAGAGCAACCCCTCGCCTGGATCTGGCGGCAAGCCAGTGGGCACCCAAGCCCAGGAGGCAGCCGGCGGCGGCGCAGCTCCGCAGGCAGGCGCCCCCTGAAGGGGCTCAGCAGCTTCGGCGCCAAGACCAGCTCCGACAGCGTCTCGGAAAAACGGAGCTTCCTCAGCAGCATCCACACGGCCTGGAGGAGGGCTGAGGACGATAGGCTCCGCCACGCCGATCTCCGAGACGCAATTGGGGACAGTGGCGACCTCCCGCTCCAAGAGCGACACGACGAACGGGAAGACCATGGCCCCGCACGTGCATCTCGTACCTCCTGCGGCGGCGGCGGGGGCGGGAGGAACAGCGGGAACTGCACCCTCAGCCACAGCCCCCGACGGGACGAAGACATCGGCGTCGGCTCGCATGGACGGATCCCCGAACGCAGGAACAGCAGCGGCAGCGTGGGCAGCCTGCGGCGGCCCGAGGCGCTCCCCCGCAGCAGCCCATGCCAGCTCGGCATCCGACGCAGTGCGGAAGCCGCGAGGCGGCACACGCTGCGCATGGAGCGCCGCGTTGCGCCTCCTGCGCGCTCTGCCAGGGACGCGGAGCTGGGCGGTGGCGGCGATCAGCGCAGGTCGCGCAGCCTGCTCCCTATCGCGCCAGGAGCCAGGCTCGCACAGACCTGACAGCGACCGAAGCCACGCCTCCAGAGCGTCGCGACGCCTGCGGCGAGCGAGCCTCCGCGCCGCGGAAGCTCCCAGAGACTCGATGTCCGACTGACGCTGGGATGAAGGCCGCCACGAACTCGGACAGCCCCCCGTAGCCGACATGGCACGAGCGCTCGGAACGAAGGGAGGGCCGATAGGCTTGCGCCAGAGGGCCTCCCTTGAACCAACGCGCGCGCGCCCAGCTTGAGCCAAAATGGCTACGGAGGAGGAGGAGGAGGAGGAGGAGGAGGAGGAGGAGGAGGAGGAGGACGCGAGGAAGAGAGGGAGAAGGAGGACGGCGAGGAGGAGGAGGATGAGGAGGAGGAGAAGCAAGAGGGCGAGGAGGTGGTGCATCACGCTGGCCCGCGACCTGCGACCACGGCGTGGCCAGTACAACAGTGGGTGCTGCTCCTGGTGTTGCTGCTTCTGCCCTCGCCGCTGCACCTGTTCCCGGCATGGCTTATGCGCGTGCGCGTGCGCGTGTTTCTGCCGCTGCGTCTGCCCTCGTGTCGACCTGAGGCAGTTCAGAAAGGGTCTCGCCTGTGAAGATCGAAGGGGTGAATATCTTTTCCTCGGCGGGAGGCCTGTGGAAGGCGGTGGAAGCAGAGCGAGGCCGGCGGAAGGCAGCGGAAGCAAGAATCAGCCTCCCAAGGGAGGGCAAGGTTTTTGTTGGGCTCCCGGTTTTTTGTCGACGCCGTTCCCCAAGCAGAGTTTGCAATATGGGGTTCTTGCTTCTCCTGCCCTGGCAACTGGAGGGTCCGGGGAGGATGCACCGCGCCGCCGCCCGTGGCCCGCATTCGGGCGCCCCATGGGCCCTCAGTGTTATGAGGTTCCAGCCTGCTAGCCTTGATCCCCAGGAACGTCGAGCACCAGGGAAGTACCGAAGTTGGAGGTTCTCACGTGTCGGGCCCTGCAGAGGCGATGCTCGTTCGCCCCCGCCTCGATCTGCTTTTGCGGCGTGCTCGAGATTCTTTCTGGGATGTGGCCCTTTTTCTGCGTGCTCGAGATTCTTTCTGGGACGTGGCCCTCAAGAGCGACGGGAGCAGCGTGCGCCCCGTGGGCGCCCCTCTGGTCGGGCGGGTGTTGGTCGAGCGGTTCGCCGCGCTGCCGCCCCTGCCCGCGGCGCCCGGGCGCCCCAGAGGGAATGCCGGGCGGGCGACCGGCTGGGCGGGGTGTCTGCCGAGGGCTCGCCGCGTGCCCGCCCGGTCGTCTGCCCCCCCCCCCTCCCAGGCCTCACAGGCGGCCCACGCGGCGGCCTGCATCAGGGGGGGGGGACATAAAACACACACACACACACACCCACACACCCACACACACACACACACACACACCCCACACACCCCACACACCCACACACACACACCCAACACCCACACACACCCACACACCCACACACCCACACACAACACACCACACACCCACACACCCACACACCACACACACCCATCACACCCACACACACACACACACCCCACACACCCACACACCACCCACACACACCAACGCGCACGCGCACGCGCACACCCACACACCCACAACACCCCGCGCGCACGCGCACGCGCGCACGCGCGCACGCGCGCCACGCGCACGCGCACGCGCACGCGCGCACGCGCACGCGCCACGCGCACGGCGCACGCGCACGCGCGCACGCGCGCACGCGCGCACGGCGCGCACGCGCCGCACGCGCACACGCGCACACGCACACGCACACGCAGCGCACACGCGCACACCCACACGCACACGCACACGCACGCACACGCACAACACACACCACACACACACACACACACACGCACACGCACACGCACACACACACACACACACACACACACACACACACACACACACACACACACACACACACACCAAATCGTCGATTCCCCCGAAAACAGGTGGAACTGTGGGAAGTGGACGGGGAAGACGACGGCCCAGAACAGATTGGTAAATGGGCGTACGCCACATCCGCCGACCCCTTTTTTCCGTCGGATTTCGCGTCTGAGCAAACCGAGCCCGGTGGAAGACCCCGACGGGTCCTCGGAGTTCGGGCCATCGTGCGCGGTCCGCGACTCTGTCGTATTTCGTCTTCTTTTTCTGTTGTGTGTGTGCTTCTCTCCCTGTCTCTCTCCCCTTTGTGATCCTCTATCGGTCGCCCCGCTTGCTTTTTGGTTGCATCCCCTTTCTCGTTCACTCGTTCCCTTCTCTCTCGTCTCCCGCAAGAGCAGTGGGGTCAGGAGACGGAGGGGACATCGATTTGATGCTATGCGTGGCCTTCGCAAAAAAAGCCACGCGGGTGTCGTGAGACGACGCGGGCCGCCCCAGGAGATTTCCGCAATTGGGCCCCGAATTTACCAGGGACTCCTCGGAATGAGGACCGAGGATTCGAGGGGTCCGGAAAGAACCCGAGGACACGCACATTCCGTGCCCCACGGCACGGTTGCGGACTCAACGCAGCGCCGTGTCGTCAGCGATGCCCCTGTGAAGGTTCTGCCAATCGCGTTCGCTCGTGTCCCTGGAACCTCGCCTTGCGGCGAGGTTGGCAGTGGTAGGTGGGGGAGGAGGGACGGGAATATTGAGTTCCAAGGGACGGGGGAGGAGGGAATGGTGGAGGAGGAAGAGGAGGAGGGGCAGGAGGAGGAGCAGGATGGGGTGGAGGCGGATGTAGAGGAGGATGATGATGATGAGGAGGAGGGGGGGGAGGAGGAGGAGAAGGAGGAGGCGGAGGAGGGGCAGGAGGATACAGGGATGAGGAGGGGGAGGATGACTGTGGGGAGGACGAGGCTGAGGAAGTGGTCTCGCTGCCGCTCCCCGAGGTCAGGGCCGCGGGGCTCCCTTGGGGACCTTTTTTTTCGAGGACCCCCACTTTTGGACGCAGGAAGACACGTTTCACACAGCATTCCCGTGGGGGCGCGAATATCGTACACAGAGCTGGTGGTAGGAATTTTTGTTCCGATGCGGCATGGTCAGGAACCGCCCGCAACACGCGGTTGATTCAGACTACAGCGAGCTGCGTGTG